GTGCGGTGCGGGGGCGATGCGGGGGCGAGGTTGCGGGGCCGGTGGCGGGCCTGCGGGGTTAGGCGGCGGGGTACCCAGGGCTGGGTGGCGGCGGGGGTCGTCCGGCGGTGGCGGGGTTGGATGGCCCCCGCGGCGGGGGTCCGGGGGCCGCAGCCTCACACCGGCTTTGCCCCCGAGGATCCCCGCTCGACAACGCTGACCATAACCAATATCTCCACTTGTCTTCACTCTCCCTTGTTCTCTTCTTTTAAGATCTTTGCCCCGGTTCTCCTTGTCTCTTCTTACATGCACACTCCCTGTCTACAAGGACCTACTCAGAATGTCTCTCGTTGATGTACTAACACTAACCCTGCTAATACTGCTACTAACGCTAGCTCTGTCTGGCACAGCTATGGCTTGCTGCCGCCCGCGCAACTTCTCTTCCTCTAGCGCAATTTCTTCTTCTGCCAACGCTTCCTTCCTGCACCTTAGCGCACAAGTGCCTCAGCACTTCCACACATCAATGCTCATGGAGATCTGCCTTGTACGGAGGCTGCCTCGTTTCTTATAGTGCTGGACTCCCCTCGTGATGTTTGAATTCAATCTTTGTTGGTCCTTTTCCCAGTCCCAGCCTCTGTGCTGTGTGCCACAGTTCCTTTTCCTCAGGGTCTACTGCTGCTGCAGCCTTCAGGCCTCAATTTCGGACTGCAAACCTGAATCTCGACTTCTTCTTTGACTGGAATCCTAAATGGGACTCAACCTTTTGACTTCCTTTTGAAAGGACACATCTGCTATACGTACAGAGAAATATTTTACACGAACAGACACCTATACAGGACGAACAGACACATACTGTACGTGCAAACACAACTTTTGCATGAACAGACATGGACTGCACATCCCCTGGATGAACAGTTGTGTTTAAACACTGCGACTATTCGTCTAGGGCACAACTTTTGACCTTTGACAATGATCTTTACTTTGTTAGGATGTGCCTTTTGACCCAAAGAACATACCTGTTGATCTGCTTTTCACGAGTTGGGGGTATTCTCAAACAGGGTCTGAATCGACTAAGCCCTTTTACTCTCGTCGACCTAGCTTCGAGGTCCTCTGAGAAATTCTCTACCGGTCAATAATATTAATTCCTCTTCTGGCTTTTTCATATGTAGACACAGTACGAGGTGCAGAATCCATTAGGTCTTCTCGTGTGAACTAGCGATCTTCACTTGGATCCTTATAAGCGAATCTCACCTTATACTGCCGCTGTGGTCTGCCTCTACGTCCAGTCTGAAAGGTACTTTCATCAACAATCTTATCCACGTCGTATTTCTCATCCATACTAAGAGGTATCGTTGATCTGCGATTGGGAAACAACTTATTTGTTACGCAAGGTAAGAGTTTCGAAGCGTGGAATACTGGATACGTATGTAGATGTAGAGGACTCTCTATAACATACGAAGAACCATCCACATCGCCAATCACATCGAGAACCTGCCAAGGTCCTTTGTAGGCTGGTAGTAACTTCTGGGAGATATTCTCTTCGGGAACAAACTCCTTAGACTTAACCCACATCAGATCACCTACAGCAAACTGAGAAGGTCTTCTGTGCTTATTTGCCTGTTCTATCATTTGATGTTGTGCCTTCACTATATTTTCTTTTACCTTTTCAATGTTTTTCTTATACTGGATAGCAAATTCACTGGTTCCTAGTGGAAGCTTATGCACTTGATCCGGGTTTAGCCGATCAATAGGTCTACGTGGACGCCATCCCAGATGCATCTCCATCGGAGTCTTGCATGTAAATAAATGAACAGAGTTATTGTAGGCGCTAACAACTTTGGGCAAATGTTTGTCCTAGTCAATCTAGTCAGGACGAACGTACATGCGCAACGTTTGCTGCAAAATCTTGTTCATTTGCTCAGTTTGCCCGTTAGTTTCAGGATGTCTGCCTGAAAACATAGTCAACTTAGAGCCATAGACGTTCATTAGCTCCTGCCATTGTTCACTTGTGAACCTTCTTTCTCTGTCACTCACGATTGTCAAGGGATGTCCATAGTCTTTCACCCAATGGTTAAAGAACTCCCGGATTACCAGTTTCGTTTTTGCTTCCACTAGTAAAGCTACGAAGACAACATACTTACCAAATCTGTCGACGATTACCATTACCTTTGTCTTCCCATTCCTGCTTTTTACTTTGGTGTCCATAAAGTCAATGGACAGAGAGTCTCCTGGACTTGTTGGAATAGGCAAAGGCTTAAGTAAACCAAAGGGAGGTTGTGTGGTGCTCTTATTTCTTTGGCACACTTGACAGCCCTGCACATACGCAATGCAGTCTGGTTTCATGAGAGGCCAGGTGTAGGAACGCAAAAGGTTTGCGTAAGTCTTCCTCCACCCAAAAATACCCTAGGTGTCTTGACATTCCCCTAAGATCAAACTCTTGATCTCTTCCACATTCCAAATGCAAAGCCTGTCATGCACATCAGTCTTTTCAAATAACAGTCCTTGCGTGATACGATAGTTAGGAAACTCTGTTGTCGCTTCTTGTACACGTTTAAGCATAACGCCATAGACAGGGTCGGTGGAATACGTATTTCTAATTTTCTCTTGTAGATCGGTGCCCATATCTAAATAGGTTACAACGACACTAAAGAAATTTGATCTTCGACTCAACGCGTTGGCAACAACGTTATACTTACCCTTAACTGGCTTTAGCTTAAAGTCATATTGATCAATCTCAGCGGCCCACCTCGTTAATTCACGTGTCATCCGGGTCTGTGTCTTAAGCCAGCGAAGTGTTTCATGATCCGAATATACCTTGAAGTGGCGTCCTAAGAGATAGTGTCACCAGTGATTCAAGGCTTCCCGGAGAGCATACAACTCTCTCTAATATGTAGAAGCGGCGACCTTCTCGTTAGGCAGTCGTCGGGACATAAACTCTACAGGTCTGTATCCATTTCCATCGTCTTGTTGGAGTACAACGCCTATCCCATACTGACTGGCGTCATTCGTAACAACAAAGGGCAAGGAAGGACCAACAACCTTTAAAACATGGTAGTTAATCAGACATTTCTTCAGACGTTTAAACTAGGTTGTACAGTCTGAATCCCACTTCCAGATAATTTCTTTTTTTACCAATCTACGAAGGGGCGCAACAATTATCGTGAAGTATCTAACAAACTTCCGATAACAGTTGGCTAGCCCAAGGAACGACCGCAAAGTGCGGGGGTTAGGCCAATCATGTATAGCTGCAATTTTCCTGTCTTCCGGTTTGATCCCATCACCATCAAGCACATGCCCCATATACAAAACCTGACGCTTAGCCCAATCACACTTCTTGGGGTTTAATTTCAAATTTGCTTCACGCAGCTTATTTAGCACAAGTCGAAGGTGCTCGCAATGTTCACTCAAGTTCTTACTAAAAATCAGAATATCGTCTAGATACACAACAACAAATTTATCAAGCCATTCGCGGAAAAGTTCATTCATCGTTCTTGGGAAGGTTGCGGGTGTATTAGTAAGACCAAAGGGCAACACCACGAACTGATAGTGCCCGTACCTTTTTCGAAAGACAGTCTTGTGTTGGTCTTTTGGTTCTACCTCAATCTGATGGTAGCCAGATTTCAGATCAATCTTAGTGAAGTACGTGCAACCATGAACTCTATCCAAAAGATCATCAATTATTGGTAATGGCTCAACATTTTTTACTGTTATATCGTTAAGTCTTCTATAATCAATGCACATGCGTATCCTGCCATCTTTCTTGGGTACAAATACTACAGGCGCACCATAGGGCGAGGAGCTAGGTCTTATTCACCATTTTTCCAGCTATTCATCAAACTGGGTTCGGAGTTTATCTAACTTTTTTGGTGACATTCGATATATAGGCCCCTTTGGAATCTGACTTTCTGGAATAATCTCAATGCGATGTTTGATAGGTCTTTCAACTACACCGCTCGGGGCTTTTGCCGCATCTGCGAATTCTTTCAGAATCTTATCAACTTTTGGGGGGTTAGTTTCTTCTTTGACTTCTTCCTCTTTCACTGGGCGCACATATGCAACAAATACTTGGTCATACAGATTATACCTTTTCACATGACGGGCGAACGCGGGGGTACTCATACAATAATGAGCTAAGCTGCTTTCTTTTCCTGATTCATGGTACAATCGAATTTTCTTTTTCCCACCTTGCAGACTAGGAAACCAACATTCGTGTTTCCTCAGCTTCATGTCTGCATCCGCAACTTCACCCCAATCCATACGTAAACGAATGTCAAAAGGAAGATTATCTTCCACCAAGAGAGTCAGAGAGTGGAGAACACGTTTCACCTTCCGCTCTGCTTCGAGCCGGAAGTATATCTTAACCCCCTCAACATATCTATCAATTACAAATACTGGACTATTTGCTAATTTACTTACTATGGGCTCATCCAATTGTTTAACTTTAAGCCCAAGACGCAACTTCTTTAATCCTTTCTTACTAATATAACTGTGTGTAGACCCACTGTCTATCATTCCTCCTATTCTTACTTTATTGACTTCAAGATCTACAATTATTAGTTGTCCTTTTTGTTTCTTCATCTCAGTCTAGCCTTGGCGACGAGCGGCCAACTCATCACCCATGCCAGCGAGGGATTCATCTAGAGAGATGCATACGCTTGCTACCTCTGGACAGTGCACTAGATGGGGACTGTCTACCTCTTCAGTTTCTGCCAATGGGACCTTCGAATGGGAGAATTTCTTTTTTCAACATCCAAAGTCCCTGTAGAGGCAACTGAAACCTCTACTGGCTGTTCTTTTTTGCCACCTTATAGTCAGGGCAATAAGGGATAATGTGGTCAGGGTCCCCACATTTAAGGCACCGGTCGGCAACTTTCCTTTCCTGCCAAACTTTTTCTGTAATTCCCAGTTTTTTTCAAGGTTCCCCTTCGGGTAGACCTGAATGAGGTGGGTATGGCTTATCCCATTTGTTATACCAGGTGCCTCTTCCTCTTCCCCAGGCAGAATTGGAACCACGGCCACTTTGCGAGGGACCATTTCCTCTTCCTCCCGCATAGTAGCTACCTTCGCCACCACCCCTCTGGGTGCCAAGTCCTCTTCCACCACGTTCGCGGCCACCTCTTCCTCGGTCACATCCTCTTCCTTGTCACCCTCCCCCGCGGGCTACAACGGCCACGTAGCTCCCCTCCTGAGCTACCAAACCGTTGGGTCCTTCCTCAAGACCATAATCTACTTGGTCCCAAGAAAGTGTTTCGACACCTCCTTCTTCAAAGGTCAGAAGGAGGTTGTCTTTCCCAGGTATTGACCTTGAGATAGTGCGGTTTTGCCATTTCTTTCCCGCTTGCAGATCTTTCCAGTAATGGCAATAGTTCGCTTCAGCCAAGAAGTCTGCATGATCTAATGCGATCTTGTTGAACTTCTCGTATGTCATATCCTCTTCCTTGGTGTGGGGATACAACTGAGTCCTGAGGGGGTCCGGTAGTCCGCATGCAAAACTATTTAGAATTTGAGCCAGGGTCAATCCATGCTCATTACATTGCAACAGTTCATCCATAGTTGTCTTAAGTGTTAAAGTACTTTTCCATTTCCTATCTAGGAGATTCGGTATCAATATCTCGGTTTTTCTGGCTAAGTTCTTGTCCTCAAACCGTTCTCTGACGGCTTTGAGAAAGTCTTCAATGCGGGTTTGTTGGGAATACTCTACCATGGAGCTGCAACCCGTTTCCTTTTGCAGGGAGATTGCAAAACTCATGGCATCTCCTCCCATACATGAACTTGCCATTAGCACTCGGTCCAAATACGGAATTCGTTGTTCGTAAACATAGGATTCGACTGTCGTAATCCAATGCAATACACTTTCGTCTTTCTTCCCTATGTATGTCCATGAAATCTTTACTTTAATTTTGTTGATTTGCCCTGCTCTTTCTTCTCGCTGCACACCCTGTCCTTTCTTGCCATCACCCCCATGATCCCCATCTTCGTCCCCATCTTCATATCCTCCACCTCCGCCGTTGTCTTTGACTATCTTTTCAATCACGGCTAGAGTAAAGGTCTGGGAGATCTGGTTGTCTAATTTTTCAATATATGATTTGACATGTTGATCGACGTCTTTGGCGGACTTTTCCAAGAAGGTATTCCGGATTCCTTCAAATTCATATTGGTGGGTCTCGACTTTCTACAAAGTTCTGTTTATAGCCGTGACATCTTGCTTTGTATGATGGACCGTTTCTGTCAACAAGGCAAATTTTTCTTCGATTGCAATCTGTTTGTTTTTTCGCTCTTGCAACTCTTTCTGCAACCTTGCTCCTTCTATTTGTAGTATTTTCCTTTCTTCTAATTCTTGTTTTTTTGCTGCTAACATTTTGCTATGCAATTCTGCACGTT